CCCCATATCCCCCTCTGACCCATGCACCCCCGTGTCTATATAGACCCTTTAGCTATCCATCCTTTCCTCTCCATGCTCACCCCCTCTCTGACTCCACAATCCCCTCTACCTAGCCATCCTTACCCCCACCCCATGCACCCCTCCGCCCTCGCACTCCCTCCCTCCCTTTGAGCTCACTCCTACCCACTGTCCCCCAGGAGCTGCAGGCGCTGGTGACCGTGACTCAGTGCTCTGCTAATGTAGACCCTTTAGCTATCCATCCTTTCCTCTCCATGCTCACCCCCTCTCTGACTCCACAATCCCCTCTACCTAGCCATCCTTACCCCCACCCCATGCACCCCTCCGCCCTCGCACTCCCTCCCTCCCTTTGAGCTCACTCCTACCCACTGTCCCCCAGGAGCTGCAGGCGCTGGTGACCGTGACTCAGTGCTCTGCTAATGAAGACAACGTCCCCAAAGTTTACGCTTCCTAGAAATCATGGGGTTTCAGGGGGCAAACCCCGGTGTCCTGGCCCAGACCCGCTCTCGGTCAGGTCTTACTGCCACCTCCTGCCCCCTCGGTTGGCTGCTTCCTGCCCCCAAAGCCTTGTGTAGCTGTTGCCACGTGCTGCTGCGGCACCCCAGACTCGGACTGCTCAGTGCTGGGAGAGCGAGCTCCACAGCTCGCTGTTGTGCGCAGCCGAACAGCTGCTGCGCTCCACCCCAGAGGTGGCTGCCCTGCAGCGAAGGGGTGTCAAGTAATCGCTTCCCAGGCAATTCCAGGGCCCGTAGGGCCGGGGTTCTTGTCAGGGGGTCAGCTGCTAAAGGTTCCCCCACTCTTCCGCCACGCCTGCGAGGGGCACAGCGCCGGGGTCATGGCTCAGCCAGCGCGCAACCGGGCAAGCACTTGCGCTCTGCCGCGCCAAGAGCGCAGGGCCTGGCTTGGACACCAGGCGCAGACGCTGCTACCTCAGCTCTTCGCACCGGGCAATAGGACCCGGGGGGCAGCTGACTGGGCGGCCCCAGCCCGAGCGGGCTCCCGAGGCCGCTGCGCCAGCAGGGGAAGCCCTAGACTGCGCGGCCCCCCGCT